GCTGTTGCGGGGGCGGCTGGGGGCACCTGCGGGCGCACCTCACGCAGTGCGGGCTCAGGTTCTGGTCCAGCACGCAGCTCCGGCCTTGGCCGCACCGGACTCGTGCGCACGAACCTGCTCGACACTTTACACGTTATTACGCACAGTCGTAAACCGACCCCGTGATAGATGCGTCGCCTTCCCTGTTTGTTTTTCGCGCCGACCAGCGCGCACGCGCGAACTTCCCGCGGTTGCCTAGTACGCGTGCGCGCACACGCGATTTCTGACCACCCCGGGTTATTTAGTTTTCTTTCGATTGCAGTTTTGGGAGTTGGAAGTTTAGGGGCTGATATAGGAGATAGTCGAAAATCGAATAGTTTTTGACAATTTGGATAGTAACAGATGTGTTGTTAATCGAGTTAATTGAAATATTTGGGGTTAGTTGATTGGATTTAGCTTCAGAAAGTATGATGGAAGATGATGAAAATGATGTTGGTTGGTTGGAACGATTTTTACGATTTGGCGATATGATTGAATTTGTTGATATCGTATATGTTAATATACTTATAAAAGTCAATTACCGAAGTGGTCAGAAATAATCGACGATATGTTTTTAATTATTTATGATTATTAAGTTATATTTGTAGAGTTGAAAAGTATGAACGAAGAGAATATGTTAGTTTCTCTAGTAACTGATATCAGAGAAATGTTTTGATGTAATCGAATAGCTTCGAGAATTCCAAATATTATATATAATTATTGAAACATGCTATAGTATTTTAAATGAACAAATTAGCAATTTTCAAATGATATCAGGAAGCTATTTCATTTCATTTATGCGTTCATGTGATCTCTGAACCAAAAATAGATAGATTTCATAATCTTTATATTTAATTATTAGTTACAATTAAATTAAATCAAATTATATAGATCTACTCGATAGTTTCTTAAATTTTCACAGAATCTATCCTAAATGGTCTTTTCGATGGCTATTCAATTACGAAGCGGTGGTGATAATGATTCCATCTCTTTCATACATACTCACTTTGGCAGTGGCCGTTATAGGCAACCGCTAGTTCGTGGCTTCCCTTCTTGCAAGCGCGTTTCTTCAGTCTGCACAAATTTTTGTAGCTCTTGCCGTCTGTCCCACAAACTGGACCTCCTCCTCTTGGTGCCTTGCACTCAGGACTGCACACGCACCTTGGTCTTCCTCTACGCACCACGCACTTCTTCCCTTCCTCGCACCTTACTTCCGTGCAGCTTTCTATTAAAAAACATAGTTAATACGTTGAATTGGTCTTTTCATCAAGCAACATTCAGAATAAGCTCTTTAATTACCAATGAATCTATACTAATTTATTTATCAAAATTATACGACGATTAAGATTTATAAAAGACTAATATATCGCATTGATATATTAATAGAAGATTTCTAAAGATTAATATCTACAAAAAGTACCTAATTGTTAAGAAGGTATGTACACGTCATATTTTTTGGAACGGAATCGCGTCTTGATAAATAAATACGTACTATCATAACAGGTTCGTATGTAATAATAATCATAAAGCTTTAGATTCTTTCTATTTGCAACTTTGATGAGAATTTTTCGCTTTTTGGAAAATATGATATAAAGTCGAAGTAAAATATTCATTTACCTCTGCAAGGACGACACTGGACACCTCCTCCAAGTACCTTCCAGAAAAAGAGACTTCCACTATCGAGGTCTTCCTCGGAGTATGCGGTCGCTGCCGCTGCGTTCGACGCGCAACAATCTTCCTTCGTCACTCCTTGTGACAACAATTCCTTACAACGACCGTTACTGATGGAAGACCAGCATATGCCGCCTATAACATATCAAAGAGACAAGAATTATTGCCTGAATAATGAGACAAAGTCAACGAGAAACTAATTATTGATGAATTACGAAGGGAAACATGAATCACGATGGAGCAATTTTAATGTTTAATACGCTATCGATCAGTCACGCATTGCTACAATTCTCTTTCAATACGATTCGCTATTTTAAAAATATAGACTGCAGATGTTTATGCAAATTCATATTTCTACGAGCACAATTAAAGAAATGCAACATAAATGGGAACTTGTTCCACCTACTAACTGTTACAAAGAGCATTTCACTTTAGACATTTTATAGATTTTTACATATTACGCGCATCCTAAACATTTTCGCGATATAATCATGAAATTAATTACTCGACTAATTTTTTTGCAAATCTTCGTCAATTTATCATCTATCTTCGGAAAAGAAACTCCTCTGCCTATCTATAATCTATATTATATCAAAGCGTTCCATTCTCTTCGATGACCAAGTGGTAGAAAAATAAAAAATCAAGAAAAAGTATCATCGCCTTTCTTTTTCCATATGATCGTTAAACATAAGAATTGCAAAATCATAAAATCCTTAAAAACATCAACTAATGTTCTGTAATCGACCAAACGCGCTAACAGTTACGCTTTCGAGATAAACGAGAGGAACAAAAATAACTCTGGCAGAATGCAACTGTAGGAATTCCAGACAAGATATGACGAAACAACGAAGCTTCGAGAGTCTCGACGGGAATCGTCGACAGGATTTTTTTCCTGTTTCATGGCGCGCCTAATCACGGCCATAGCTATGCTGGGTGCGCAATGCGGGGCTCGCGGGTTTAGTCGGTTTCTTAATGAAAGACAGCCGGCTTGCGTTAGTATTCCCGGAACGTTGTATTAATGAGACGCGTTCGCGGGGAAAATTCCTTCGAGGAGTTTTAATTGACACCGTGTACGGCGGGCGCGACGCGCGACTTTAAAAAAGTGGAACAAGGCTCGGCGCGAAATCGACGGACATTCGTTAGAAAGCCCGACGGACGTGTCATAAAGTTGCGAAAGAAACACGTTGTCCGCAACAAGAGTACACGTACGAACGTGTACCACCGACAGCCAGCGGTGATATGAAGAATGAAGGAACAAGAACGATGAGTCGTTGATTTTCTGGGAAAAATGACGGGCAATATATTTCCCAGATGAACTGGGAAAGGTGACTGCAAGTCGTGGTGAATTAAATGTGGGACAAGAATGCGAATATAAATAGATGCGATTGGAAATTACGTGTAGGGAATGTGCAGATGCGTAATGTAACTTGTAAAGAATTACAGTATGCGCTAGAAAGTTTGGTCTCATTTTTCATACGTAAAGTTTACAAAGAGAAAGAAAAGACAAAATAGCCAAGGCCGATGTCTTTTATCGTTAACGACTTGTCAATTTTTTATGCTCATTCATTTATGTAAGTAAACATTTGCACGGATTTCTATGTTGTTTCTGCTGCGTTAATTTGATTATTATATGTAGACTTGCTTCATGCTTAACCATCGTTATATTACAGCTAGATAGTGTGAAGAAAAAATTGATTGAAGTGGTAGTATAGTATAGTACAGTAATAGTATATATAAATATTTAGGAAATATTTTTCTCTCTTTGGAAATCATTTTAATAAACTCCAAGGGTCATAGTATTCCATCTCTTGATCAGATAATTTACTGTTTATAATATCGAATTTAACGTATTAAATTAAGATTAAACTTGAGAATAAAGATATCGCAATAATAGTGTAAAAAAATAATTGTACTTTAGTCTTTTTGTTGCAAAAGTTCAAACATTCATTCGTACTTTTTTCGTTAAGAAGATTCACGTTTCCTTAACAAATAAGCTATACCAAGCTTTTCAACGGTGGTGTTTATAAAATCTTAATAGCATACGTAATAGGTATACTACTTTTTGTTAAAGATCATTAAATTCTTAGTGGAAAGTAACTGTTTTATTTGTTATTTGTAATAGGTACAAAACAGATCACCTAAACTGTGAGAAACATTTGTCATAAATATTCATTCAGTAAATGAATATTTATTGGGTAAATGAATATTTATAAAGTTTTTATAACTCGCATAGTTTTGCATTTCAAATCTTAATTAACCTGTTGATAAGATGTATCTAGATCGTACATTTAATCGTTTCTTTCTTTTCACTATATGCTGCTAATTATTATAATATCATTTTATACAGATGATCAAATTCATCTAATAGTATTAGAAAAGTACAGTAAGCTTATGGATAATACAAGTTCTGTGAAAAACCATCAATTTAGTCATTTTAAACATTCTAATAGCTGTAGTGTTTAAAAAATTATAAAAATATCATTGACGTGGTAGACAGACAAACTGCAGTCTGTAGTCGCAGGTCCTGAGAAGCGGGAAAGTTAAGTATTTTTCTACACTACGAACTCATAAAGGAAACGTCCAGCGTGAACTCCGTATGCAAGTACTTTAGCTTGTATGATCAGCACACACGAGACTCGTCCAATTCCTGGCTACAAGTTAGGAATAGTCGACATTGTTTACCGAACTCTCCATCGACTTAGGGTAAAATTCCTCGAAGACGAAGAGTTAGCGGCTATGCTAACGTCTGTGCCACAATGAACCTCCCAACCCAACGTACTAATTACTTCCACTTTCGATTGTGTGTATTTAAATAGTCCTCGCATGCGTTGCATTCAAAGCACACCTCGACAGCTTTTCCGTTTTCTTGCTCTTAAAAAGTGTTATCAATGGATATTTCAAGCGCATACATTGGAGACACGATGAAATTGCGTACAAGAGCAATTAAAAGACGATGTAATTAATTTTTATCGAATTTCTTTATAATATCGATCGAGATCATTTTTAGAATATAAATTCGAATATAAAAACTTGAATTTTAGAAAGAAAGTACGGAAATTGTAATTTTAGAGGGTATACTCTATAATTTTAACAAATACTATTCTCTCAATTTTCTTACGTAATAGTATTTCTCGAAAGGAACAAGTATAGTTTCTTGTATACTTCAGACAACCGTTACCTTACCCTCCCATAAACTTAAATTACCAAATTAACATGTATTGTGAGGCACGTAAGCCAGAGATACGTAATCCGGTACAATTGTGACGTACGATTAAAATTTGCATACCGAAGCGATCACTGGAAAGAATATGATTGCATCGTGAGACTTACGTATTCAAGGAATATATCGATTACCCTAACTTTGTACCCTTCGCCGTTAACCATTCAGCTCGTCGAAGTCGTAAGGAAACATAACAACGGAATACGAAATGAATGATGCTAATAAAGGATGCTTTAACAGATATAAAGTATGCACGGCTGGTGGAATCACAATTGTGTTTTAAGCAGTGCACGGTTGTGGATCAACAGATCGGTAATGGGATCTGTTCTGCTCTCTTTGGTCGCGTTTTCTTTGACTGGAGTTAAACAGCAACTCAGACGTCGGTAACAAAGGCGTGTGTTTAAAATGCGTTTATAAAGCGATTATGGTCGTAAGAGGTTGTAACAATAAACGTCATTGAACAGTTATAAACGGGACGTCCAAGTGGATTAGTTAATAACGTCAGTTACGATCGCGGGTAAATGTTAAATAAAATAATTTGAAACTGATTCATCGTTGCGATAAATGCGCCACCGATTCGAGGTAAATACACGTCGACTTCATCGCGAATAAAAGATTCGTAAACGTTTTACATTTTCATTCGAACATGATGTTCCACAATGATAGTGAAGCAATGCAAAAGACATCTTATTTCAACTTGCAATTTATGCATGTCCGTTCATTACGCATGTATATACGCAGTTTGATATTTATTAGCTGCAATCAGGTTTTGTTGCGATGCACAGTAGCGCTTGATTGCGTACGTCAACATTTTCTTTCATCGCTATGGAAAGGAAATATCGTCGACGCAGAACCTGTGCGTTTCAAATTAAAATTTTTAATCTTTTGCTTGATGTACGTACAGTTGCTCGCGAATGTATTCGATCATTCGTAAACTCTCTTTATGAATACGCTATAACGTGTATTATACGAAATATTTTGAAATAGACGACTATGGTAATCATATTGGTGACGTAACATAATATACTGATAAAAGATTTCTAAAAGTATTCGAGTACTTTGGTGAACTACTGTGCCTAAAAAATTCTACGCGGTCCTTAAAACTTCATCGTGAACCGATTGACACTGCCTACATCGCGGAAGCAAAATTAAAAAATACAACATCCGACACGCACGTGGCGTTCCGCTGGCCAAAAGCCGCAAAGAGGCGGCGAAAGGGGTGGAGAAAGAGAGAGCTCGCACACGGCGTGGTTTTGCGTGGCGGCATAAAAAGGCCGAGATACACCACGGGAACCAGAACCGAGACGTCGCTCAGAGACAATGGAACTCCTCGGGCACCAATTAATCACCGCACGATAATGCAATTGGAAACAGCCGGTTCCCCGTCTTTTCGCAAGCTTGGCCAGCGTCTGGCAACGAATTGCTCCGACTACTGCCGTATCTTTTTGTCCCGAATCCTCGAATCCTTCGCCTTTTCTCCTTTCATCGTTGCTTCATTTTTCTACTTTCCCCATTCCGTTGCTTTTCTTTGCACTAGTTTCATTCTGACTCGATAGAAATATAGCATGGATCGTAATTTATGGTACGACTGGAATAACAGAGATTCCATGATCCAACACGAGACGAGAATCAAGAATAACAAAATTCTGTCGAAAATTTCATTTACGAAGAAAATTATTTCAATCAAGTAGAACGTATATCTAATTGTAAAAAACCACTTCTTATTTACCAATTTAATACAAAAGCACTTAGAATGAAATTCGTATTGCCTATAATCAAATACACGCATATCCTATCAATCTTCAAATGCATTTTTCTCGAAAATCAAGCCGTCGATCTAATTTTGTTATCCTCGACTTTTATCTTGTTTCAACTCGTAGAATCTTCATTGCTACGCTTGTACCTCGGTTGACGG